CTCAGGTATTGTAGTCTCAGGACTGCGATCTCAGGGGATCGTTTAGTCTCAGGGTATCGTAGTCTCAGGGTATTGTAGTCTCAGGGTATCGTTTAGTCTCAGGTATTGTAGTCTCAGGGTATCGTAGTCTCAGGGCACGTTTAGTCTCAGGGTATTGTAGTCTCAGGGTATTGTAGTCTCAGGGTATCGTTTAGTCTCAGGGTATTGTAGTCTCAGGTATTGTAGTCTCAGGGTATCGTTTAGTCTCAGGGTATCGTAGTCTCAGGTATCGTTTAGTCTCAGGGTATAGTCTCAGGGTATCGTTTAGTCTCAGGTGGATCGTTTAGTCTCAGGGTATCGTTTAGTCTCAGGGTATTGTAGTCTCAGGGTATTGTAGTCTCAGGGTATCGTTTAGTCTCAAGGTATTGTAGTCTCAGGTATCGTTTAGTCTCAGGTATCGTTTAGTCTCAGGGTATTGTAGTCCAAGGTATCGTTTAGTCTCAGGGCATTGTAGTCTCAGGGTATTGTAGTCTCAGGGTATCGTTTAGTCTCAGGTATTGTAGTCTCAGGGTATCGTAGTCTCAGGGTATCGTTTAGTCTCAGGTATTGTAGTCTCAGGTATCGTTTAGTCTCAGGGTATTGTAGTCTCAGGTATTGTAGTCTCAGGGTATCGTTTAGTCTCAGGGTATTGTAGTCTCAGGGTATCGTTTAGTCTCGGGGATCGTTTAGTCTCGGGGTATTGTAGTCTCAGGTATTGTAGTCTCAGGTTATTTTAGTCTCAGGGTATCGTTTAGTCCCAGGGGATCGTTTAGTCTCAGGGGGTCTGTTTAGTCTCAGGTGGCATTGTAGTCTCAGGGGATCGTTTAGTCTCAGGGGGCCGTTTAGTCTCAGGGTAGTGTGTCTCAGGGGATCGCTTTAGTCTCAGGGGTCGTTTAGTCTCAGGGTATTGTAGTCTCAGGGTATCGTTTAGTCTCAGGTGGGTCGTTTAGTCTCAGGTATTGTAGTCTCAGGGTATCGTTTAGTCTCAGGGGTCGTTTAGTCTCAGGGTATTGTAGTCTCAGGGTATCGTTTAGTCTCAGGTGGGTCGTTTAGTCTCAGGGTATTGTAGTCTCAGGGAATGTTTAGTCTCAGGGTATTGTAGTCTCAGGGTATCGTTTAGTCTCAGGGTATCGTAGTCTGGGGGATCGTAGGGGGAATACTTATACGCAACTTTAGATGGCACCGTTAACTGGTTGACTTAAGATAATAAATACTCACGGCTTTAAGAAGATACTTTCACTTTACATCAGACAAAAATACTTAAATAGATTACGTAGGGGTTAGGTTAGGTTAAGGTTAGGTTAGGTTAGGTTAGGTTAAGGTTAGGTAGGTTTTGGGTTGAGGTTAGGTTAGGTTAGTGTTAGGTTAGGTTAGTTAGTTAGGTTAGGTTAGGTTAGATTAGGTTAGGTTAGTGTTGTGTTGTTAGGTTAGGTTAGTTAGTGTTAGATTAGGTTAGTGTTAGGTTAGGTTAGGTTAGGTTAGGGTTAGTTAGGTTAGGTTAGTGTTTGGGTTGGGTTAGTTAGGTTAGGTTAGGTTAGGGTTAGTGTTAGGTTAGGTTAGGTTAGTGTTAGGTTAGTGTTAGGTTAGGGTTAGGTTAGGGTTGGGTTAGGTTGAGGTTAGTGTTAGTTAGGTTAGGTTAGGTTGAGGTTACTTAGGTTAGGTTAGGTTAGGTTAGGTTAGTGTTAGATTAGGTTTGTTTTATTGGTTTAGGTTAGAATTAGTTTAGATTAGTTTAATTGAACTTAAGTTACTGTCACATTAGGTAAGATAAATTAGGTTAGGTTAGGTTACCGGTATGTTAGGTTAGTGTTAAATTTGGTTAGGATAGATTATCGGTGGGTTAGGCTAGTGTTAGATTGTTAGGTTAGCGTTAGTAGGATTAGTTAATCTGAAGGTGATTATAATTTAGAGGGGTTACTTCTAAGAACTTGGACTCAACACTTGTACCCTAGGTTAGGTTAGGTTAGGTTAGGTTAGTGGTTAGGTTAGGTGAGGTGAGGTGAAGGTGAATCATAGGCGCGAAATGCCATCAACACCAATTAAAAAAATCGCTGAATAATTAACTGTAAAAAAATCTTATCGATAATTTATGATATACGTGATAATATTTACATTAAGTTTATTACCACAGAAAACAGGAATAAAGTGTGTGTGTGTGTGTGTGTGTGTGTGTGTGTGTGTGTGTGTGTGTGTGTGTGTGTGCGTGGTCCCAGACGCTGTGTTGAGCGTGGCCGGGAACGAGTTGACAACGCCTCTCTCTCTCTCTCTCTCTCATATATGGGCGAGTCTCCGTTTCTCTCCTCACCTGACCTACTTCTCTCTCTGTCTCTTGGTCTCTTTCTCCCTCTTTGTTTTATGTCTGTATATTTATCACAGTGATATTTTTGCTCCTGTCTCCTACTCCATTAGCGTGGTATGAGTCTGTCTGTCTGTTCGTCTGTCTGTCTGTCTGTCTGTCTGTTCGTCTGTCTGTCTGTCTGTCTGTCTGTTCGTTCTGTCTTCTTTCTGTCTGGTCTGTCTGTCTGGCTGTCTGTCTGTCTGTGGCGTGTACATAGTGGTATTGTCAAGAGCTTAACTTTTTTTTACTTCGATCCAGATAATTCTAAAAAATAAAGGTTTTGGTCAGAACAATATATATCAGCCTGTGTGTGCCAGAGGTCACGGTCACAGCTAAAGGTCAAAGGTCAGGTATAGCAACTTCCATCCCCCTTAAGGTATTATTATTATTATTTTATTATTATTATTATTATTATTATTATTATTATTATTATTGCTCCCAAAAGTTTGTCCGGAAGGTATAAAGGTTAGGTTAGGTTAAACAAGCCTATAGGTTAGGTTAGCATACACTAGCTTGAGTTAAGTTGGTGAGGTTCGACTAGGTCAGGCTAGACTAGGCTGAACTATATAGGGTAGGCATGATTAGACTGAGCATAGTTAGGGTTGACTTTTTTTTTTTTTTTTATTGGGCACGCCCCTACATCCTTGTGTAAGGTGAAGCGCAGAAGCGTTTACAGCTCCCAACAGGGAAGCATGCAAAGTTCATGCTTGCCGGTGGTAGAAGCGGTATCGCTCTTGCCTCGCAAGCAAGATGTCATGGGTTCGATTCCCGGGCCGGTGGAAGTTGTTTGGACATACTTCCCAGCCCCTTAGTCCCTGTTCACCTAGCAGTAAAGTAGGTACCTGGTGTAAGTCGAAAGTTGCGAATTCGGTCTTCAGGGACAAGTTGTTGGAGCTTCCAATAACTTGATGACATAAACCATTGACTCTTCAGGTTGACTAATGCTGTGGCAGCTGAGGTCAGGCCAGAGAAGGTCATAAACTTCCACAAGGTCGTGAAAAACTGACCCACCCTCCCACCCCACCTCCTGTTGTTGGGGCGTCATGAGATGGTGGCGGTACTGTCCGTGGTAGCTGGACCAGGCACTTCTCCGATAGTGACAGTACATGAGCTTCACTTCCTCTGTCCTGTTGGGAGGAAAATCAACTCCACTTCCCCCTGGTGTGACGGCACATGTGCTCCACTTCCCCCATCGCGTGGGTGGACAGGCAGGCAAGCTCTGGTAGTAATCGATTCTAGAAACACGTCAGGAGAGGCTGATGATTTGTGAGGCGTCCAGGATATGACCGAAGGCTGACGGCGTGTTGGACCGCCGGCTGACGTGAGGGTTGTACCACTGGCTGACGATGTGTTGGACCACCGGCTGACGTGAGGGTTGTACCACCGGCTGACGGTGTGTTGGACCACCGGCTGACGTGAGGGA